CATTGGTCTGAAACCGAAATTCAAGGTTATATGATTTCATGCCCAGAATTTTCCCCAATTTAAATTGGTTATAAATAGCCGGTCAAAAAAAGATATAAAATTAAGCATATTTTTTTTGAAAATAAATTTCATACGCTTGAAACTGCACTGCAAATGGAATATATATGGGGAAAAACGGAAATTTATTTAGTGGCCCCCTGCCCCACTCGTTTGCCTGTAAAAATATCAGCAAAAAGATATTTCTCACTGGCACGAAGTTTCCCCCGTCTAAAATTATATTTTCTGTGCGGTGAAAAACGTCATTAATTGCCGCAAAAAGCAAAAGGAAAATGGCATAGAAAAACGCAGAGTGAGAATGAGAAGCACGAAAAACGTTTGACATAAAATGTGAAAATATTTCTAAAGATCGCTAGACAGCAGCCAAATGAATGTAGATTTTCCTAATGGACTTTTCCCTGGCACTGACCACATACATACACTTTGGCAGCAGGGTTTGCCGTGAATAACAAATCGATTAAATGTTAAGCTGATTAAAAGTGCCAGTTTATTATGTGCTCGATTCAACGACATGAGGTCATGGAATAAATGCACTAGACAGTCGAAAATTTGGCAAATCGACAATTGAGGGCAATAAAATGCAAATGCAAAATACGGAACTTTAGCATTTTGCATTTTAATGTCATCTCTTTGAAATGATTATTTTTGTCTAATTGACAAGCGAAAAGTAATTTAATTGATTCAGCAGGTCATCCATTAAAATAGAGAATAGCTACATTAATGGATATGTTTCACTGACGCACTCACAATCAAAAATCAATATTTACTCAGTGTTTCGCCCCAAAGAAAAATAAATTATCCAAATCTAACAATACCAATTGGTTACAATTGAAGTAAGCAATCGATGGCGAATATACAAATAAATATATGAAATTGTAGACAAGTTCACATTCAAAATCAATATTTTGCAGGGTACACAGTAAAATGATTAATGCAAATGGGAAGGGAAATGTTGAAGTAAGTCCCAGAATAACGGCACCCTGCACTTATTTGAGAAGAAATGTTCTTGACTTCAAGAAGCAAGATCTCTCTTTATATAGAATTTAGATATATGAAGTTGTAAACTAATTCATATTCCAAATCAATATTTTTAAAGTAAATCCCAGACTCACCTGCAACCTGTACTTATTAGAAAACAATTGTTCTTGAAATCAAGAAGCAAAAGCTCTCAAGTTCAATTTTTAAGATGAAGCGACTTTAAAATTGAAATGAAACTAAAGTAGTACCTTCGTCGTGATATAATCTTGATCTTTATATGAAATCAACAGAGGGTTTCGGGAAGTATTCTCTTTCTGAGTGCATATTTTATTTAAGTTCTGAAGCGTGCTTTTCTACTAATCAAGAGCAGGGTATTCCAGTTTTAGTGTGGCTAATTGACTTTTTATCGTTTCATTTCGCGGCGCTTTTTCTCATTCTGGCTGCCACAGCTGATTGCTCCTCTCGTTAGCGAGGCGTGCGAAGTTAAAAAAATGCAAACATTTTGGCAAAACAAAGGCACAAATCTGGGGCTCGGCCCAGTAAGCGTTTCAGCAAGCCGGGTACAAAAGTCAGACAGTCGTCTAATTATAATGAGAGAAACATTTGCCCTCCACTCAGACGGTCATTAATTTGCGGTGTGCTAAAGATGTTTACATTAGAGTAGTACCGCAGGTTTATTCCCTTAGAATATACACACCTATACTTATATATGCGAATCCACCGCTGGCTTCGTATGTTGTACAAATACTCGTATATATTCGCCTAACAAACTAGCAAATAGAATTGATTTTTTTCCCCATTGCAGCAACGGATTCTCAATTGCCAATAGAACAAACAAACAAACAATCAAACAAAAAGCTTTGGCCAGTCTGTAGTTCGCTTCGGGGCGAACTGGCCATTGCAAATAACGAAAATATTTCAAGTCAAACACAAAAAAACTAGAGATTTGAGAGGGTGGAGATACAAAAAATGAAAAAACAAAAGAAAAAAAGTAGAACTGCAAATAGATTGAGTAAGCGATTGTCGAGAATTTTTTGTAGAGAACTTTACATTTCACAGATACTTTTACGAGATGCATGGGAAGGAATTCGATACAGAAGCAATTCATCGAAGCTGCCTGCAATTGTATACCTTTGTTTACCCCAGGCTAGAGTAAATCAATTCAATTTGAATGGAGTTGAAAGAAATATGGGTTTGGGCTTTATTTTTAGAGCAGCCTGGAAAGTGCAAGTATGTAAAAACTGGAATTTGGAGGAAAATTTAAGGGAGTTTCTGTGGGGAAAAACAAAGTAATTTTATATTATTGATCCATATACTACGAGTCAAAAGTGAATCTATAAAAGGAAGCACCCTTTTTGGGTGGTTATCAGACTGCAGCAAAAATGGTGTGTCATAAAAGTCTGCAATCAAAAACCAAAATTCGAAAAAATATGTATTTTGATATAAAGAATGTACTTTTTTATTACTCATAGTATATGAATATAAAATATCACATATTGTTGGTAAATTTAAATGAATTTAGAACTAACCAATGTCTTTTCTCTCCGTGTGAAATTAGGCAAACGGTTTCAAAGAGACAGGCATAACCCAGCAATAACAATCCGCACATAACGAGGTGGAGAAAATGTCAGGGAAAACAGTCCACATAAGGCGGCTAAGAGCTAAGAGTGAGGTCAGTTATGTCAAAACAGACAGCAAGAAATGTGCACAGGCGAGTGTGTTTTTGTGGTCATTAAGAGGTTACCAAGCCTCAGCTGGCAGAGGAAAATCGGCGGAGAAAAGAGTCAACTTACGAGAAAAGCCAAAAGGCAAATTGACTCTGAGCACGCTCTTTAACTTCTGCGGCCAGGCAGAAAAGTTAAAGCTGCAGCGAAATTAACATCGGCTGCCGGGAGAATGTGCGTTTACCGCCGACAAAAAGGTGAACAATCGCAAAGCAGGTCGTCCGGGGAGGGTAGTGGGTATATATTATACTATATGGTGCATAGTAATGCCCCAGAGACTTGGTAATTTTATAATAGACCTCTCGTCTTTCACCCGACATACTGTATGGATATATGTATATAAGTATACGGCAGAAGAGCGCTTCCATATGCGGAGGCACATTTTGTATGCGGTGGCATTTTATGGCAGCATTACATTCTCCTCTTCATAGTGAAAACTCCAGTGGCCGCACAATAAGTGAGCATACAAATTGTTGCACACGCTGGCACGATACTTATTTGGGTTGACTGACTCGGTTAACTCGTTAAAATAGTTCACAAGTTAAAATACTTCAAGGAAATGGTCTAGTAACGAGAGAAATCGGTCAATATCTTTGGGTTGAAATAGAGTAGAGGCAATAGTTATAAGAAAATAATCAAAAATTATTAAATATTTAAAGTTTCAGTGCATAGTACGTCTGTTTCTAGAGGTTAAATAAGGTTAATAGGTCTTAAATAAACCCATTAATGATAAGTGTCAACTGGTAGTCAAAATGTAATTTGTCTGTGGTTGCAAATTTGAATTCAAACAACGAAAATGGGAGCGAAACGCCTTAACCACAAAAATAAAAATAACAATAAAAATCCTACAGCTTATAGAACAACTTTTTCAAGTGGTTCTATCTACAGCGGTATAAAAATAACATTTCACAACCTGCTAATGATTTTTAGGTTGCACCTCTAGGTTTGCATAACGTTTTTAAGCAATGCTACTTGAAGTAGGGATTCTAAACCGCATCTTCAAGTGCAAGCCTTATTTGATTAAACCATGACGTCAAAGCCAAGTTAACTACCGCGAAACAGTGGGCCAGTAGTGCTTTGCCAACACGAACACGACAAAAAGCAGTTAATGGCAGGTGACAAACCCGCTTGGGCAAACAGCAAAAAAAAAACGATGGACAGCTAGAAAACTGGATATAATATCGTTGAAAAAACTCAAGTACCCCGCCAGGCGATGATCTTGTTTTCTTCGCCATTTAATGGCACACAAGTCACGTTCAATTTTGGGGACTCTCCACTGGGCGTGCTTGGTTAGCCATACGGGAGTATTGTAATTAAACCGATCGGATATATAATGGCTTAATTCCAGGGCAGTGCAAGGGCCTTGTCACCCTGGTGACAGGTGAACCCGAAATGATTTACCATTTTCACACATTATGCTAATTTCGAGTAGGCTCGACGAATTTCGTGTGTCCCCACACGTATGTATCAATTGGAACTTGTTAATTTGCCGAGCAGGTTCTGTGCACCTCCTGCCCTCTCATTTCCCCTGGCCCATAAACCACTTAACCCCTTCATCTCCGCCGTCTGGAAATCACTCAATCAATTAGAACCAGTTCTTTGACTGCCTTTCGGTGCTGTCGCAGATTAACCCTAAGCGTGTATTTACTTCAATTAGTTAATTTTTATATTTGGTATTGCTATTGGCATTTGGAGTGATATTTGATCAAAGTGTTAGAAGTTCGAACCTCTAAAAAGATTTTAAGATGATATTACGGTTTGAAATAACGGTGGAAATTTTTATGTGCACCAAAGGTTGGAACATCTTTTATTGTTATTATTATATATTCTTGAAGTATATTTTTCAAATTGTTTTTAAGCATATTTTTGAATTGTCTATACTTTTAAAGCAAATTTTCATATTGCTTCGAATAAAATCATTCTATTCCTAAGAATTTTCTATTGAAGTTCAAGTGATCTCGTGCGATTTTTAAGTTCTAGTATTTTCAATATCGTTTTTCAGAACACTGAATAATATTCACAAATTCTCTCTTAAAAACCATAGTCTTGAGAACTCAAGTCTTCTTGGTGGATAGTTCAGAGTTATTGGAGTTGTGATACATGGATAAATGGATTTGTCACGTGAGCAATCAAAGGGTTAAGCATTTGACGGAAACGGAGCAAGCTTTTTGGCCCAAAATGGTTTCGATTTGAATCGAATTCGAATTTGTTGTGGGCCAACTTCCGTTGGTCTTGGCATACCTTTCTCGTTTTCTCGGCTTGTGATTCTCGGTTTCTGCGTTTCTCAGTTTCTGTGTCTCAGTGATTTCTCAGTTTCTCACAGCGGTGGCTCTCCCGTTTGCACGTCACGAAGATGCTTTTGCTTTTGCTTGCTTTCTAGCACTGCTTGCTGGGTTTCACTGTGGATGTGTGTATAGCAGTTGACATAATTGAATTAAAACTGTAGTTCACGAGAGAATTTTGCACAACGCATCGCGAGGGGGCGGTGATTCGAGAGGGAGCGGGGTCCAAGTGGGGTCAACACATGTAAATGCGGTATCAAAGCAAAAAAAAAAACACAAAAAGATCTCAAAACTGTGTGTGTGAAGAATGGGAAAAACGGGAGAATGTGAATGTGAATGGGAAGAGAGAGGATGAGAGGATAAGAGGATGAGTAAAAAGGTGAGAGAGCGCAGCTGTTTTGATGGGGCTCTTTCGCTATTGCTCATTCTTTCGCTTCACTTTGGTTTGTTGATTCCTTTCTTCTATTTTTCTTTTAATTCTTTTCTTTTTTTTGCAGTAAGATTAGGTAACTTGTGTCTATATGAACATAATTCTTAACACATTTTACTGCTTGACACACACACTTATCATAAATATGTATGTTTCACACACACACACACAGACACACTCGGTGCGAGAGAGACACACACACGCACGCGGCAACAAAATCGATATTCTAAAAATAATATAAGTAAAAAATATATATGCATATACGAATTCTAAACGAATCTCCTCAATACGCATGAGTGTGTGTGTGTGTGTGCGTTTTGTGAGCTGACGAATTTAATTACATATTTATTTATTTATTAAAACTTTTGAGAAACACCGAATTGCGTCTGGGGATTTAGCCGCTTACTGCGCACTTGAAAAATTTGCATTCGCCTTGGAAATCTGGCTTGAATTTTGCACTCGGCTTTGTTTAGTTGCGTTTTTTCGTTTTCCTCTTTTCGGGATTTGGATTTTAATTTTTTTTTGGGCTGCAGAATATATTAAAAACCGACTGTGTATGCGTGTGTATATAAAAGATTTCTATATCTTTTGCACCCAACCGACGACGAAGGCGGCATACGTATGCGCAATTTTTGGGCCACTAGCAGCACCGTTTACTAACACGCCATCTATAACTTCGGGAGAGCAGGAGAGAGGCGAACAGAGAGAGAGAGAAGTCTACGAAGGCGGCATACGGCAACTGTGGGGAGATATTTTTTCCTTCGTCTGCTCCTCTCTCTCTCTTTTGCACATGTGTATATACTATACGCGATTGCTCTCTCACCACACAAATGTAGTACTTCAACTATTTTCCCTATTGTTATTGTTTCATTTCTTTGGCTAAACTTTTTGTTTTTTTTATTTAAGCTCTAGCTTCAGCCTAATTCCCCTTTTGCGATTACTCATTTAGCCTTTAGTTCGTTACCACTGTGCCAGATTTCTGGGTGAGAGCGTGGTGAGTTTCGTTTTCGAGTTGCGCCGCCGCCTGAACTCACCACAACAAACTGCTCTCTGCGTTCGACGGCTGGCTGTCTCACACGGTCACACTGCAGGTGAGAAATCCGTTGGTCTGCCGCAGGGTCATACTGAAAGGACGCCGCTTTTTTTTGTTGCTATCGAGGGCGATAACCAAACAAGGCTATCGTTATCGACCTCTCGCTCGCTTTATATCTCTCCCTCCCTTTCGCTCTCTTGCTCTGTGTGTGGCAGAAATCTCCTTTTTGACCCTTTTCGCCTGCTTGCTTCGATATTCAGCCTTTTATGTAATTTAGCACAATGTTTGCGTTGCACTGCTGGCGACTGCAACACACAAAAAAAGCGACGCAACGCAACGCAACGCACACACACACACACACCTGAAGTATCCGGGTATCCCCGATTCGATTCTCACTTTTGCACAGCTCCTTTCAGCGGTCTATCGCGCACGCACAGCCACAATTTCACTCGCCTGTCGCGCCGCAATTGTGGACGTTCGCTTTTCGATCGATTTGGGCGGCCGGCAGGTGCGTTTTATGCGAGAATTACGGATTTTTTTCCAGCGGCAACTAGAATAGTTCACACAGACACCGAAGAAGTGACGCCATCTTTAAAAGTGTTGGAAAGCGCGCTTTTGCGAGAGTGTTGGAAAGAGAGCGAGGCCAGTGGCGTGGTGAAATTCAACGGTGGTGAAGAGCAGACATATTCAAAAATATAGCTAGGTAAATAGCTAGATTTAACGGAGAGCGGGAACTATTAAATTAGGTCTACCCTTTTTTACTACAGCTCTTGCCTAATTTTAATGATTTTACTACAGCTTAGGGCTTTCTATTGATGCGTCTAGGAACATGATAAGACTAACTTTTCAAATGCCCGAAAAAGTCAAGCCATACAAATTCAATGGTACAACATTACTGCAAGTCTGCTGAATCGCTAGAATTAGATATTTCACATTTTCAAAACAGTACAACAACTACTAATGTAAAAGAAAAATATACATGTTTTTGGCTCCAAAAGTAAGGAGCAATAACATATTAACAACATTTTCTACTGAATTTTCAACGATCATAATTCAACAGTTGAGGGAATACCCTAAATATACATTTTTAAATTAACGGAACATGACTGGTATTTCTAGTATATAGTGGTATGTACGTTCATCCGGATACGGTCGCACTATTAGTCAGAAACACTAAATTTTTTTGACTAATTGGTCAAAACGGTACAAAAGATAGCATAATTGCTGAAATTTCACCTGACGCAGCTAATTTCGAGCAGCAGTAGAGCAGAGCCAGCCCCAGGGCGACCAGAACCCAGTAGAGAACCCCGCAAACATCGCCGCAAAGTGGACAACTCCCAGTTTTCCGAACACCTGCCCCTCAGAAAGGAGCATCGCGACAAAAAGGCGAGACATCTTCGTCGCAGCAGAATGTCTTCGCTGTCCGCATCGGCGGAGAATGTGTCCAGCCTGGGACTGGGAACAGGAGGAGGAGCGGCCAACTCCCACGACGGCAACTCCCAGCAGGGATCCGGATCCGATGGCGGGTCCAGCATGTGCCTGGAACTGGCCCTTGAGGGCGAACGCCTCTGCAAGGCGGGCGACTGTCGTGCGGGCGTGGCCTTCTTCCAGGCGGCCATCCAAGCCGGCACCGAGGATCTCCGCACCCTGTCCGCCATCTACTCGCAGCTGGGCAACGCCTACTTCTACCTGGGCGACTACAACAAAGCGATGCAGTACCACAAACACGATCTCACCCTGGCCAAGAGCATGAACGACCGTCTGGGCGAGGCCAAGTCCTCCGGAAATCTGGGCAATACTCTGAAGGTTATGGGTCGCTTTGACGAGGCGGCCATTTGCTGTGAGAGGCATCTAACCCTGGCCAGGCAGCTGGGCGATCGTCTGTCCGAAGGACGTGCCCTCTACAACCTGGGGAATGTCTACCACGCCAAGGGCAAGCACTTGGGCCAGAAAAATCCCGGGAAATTTGGCGACGATGTCAAGGAGGCTCTTACCCGTGCCGTGGAGTTCTACCAGGAAAACCTGAAGCTCATGCGGGATTTGGGTGACCGTGGTGCCCAGGGACGAGCTTGTGGCAATCTGGGAAACACCTACTATCTTCTGGGCGACTTCCAGGCGGCCATCGAGCATCATCAGGAGCGTCTGCGCATAGCCAGGGAGTTTGGCGATCGTGCGGCCGAGCGCAGGGCCAACAGCAATCTTGGAAACTCGCACATCTTTCTGGGACAATTCGAGGATGCCGCCGCGCACTACAAGCGCACTCTAACCCTGGCCGTGGAGCTGGGCGAGCGCGAGGTGGAGGCCCAGAGTTGCTATAGCCTGGGCAACACCTACACTTTGCTGCATGAGTTCAACACTGCCATCGAGTACCACAATCGGCACTTGGCCATTGCCCAGGAGCTGGGCGATAGGATTGGCGAGGCCAGGGCCTGCTGGTCACTGGGCAACGCCCACTCGGCCATCGGCGGTCATGAGCGCGCTCTAAAGTATGCGGAGCAGCACCTCCAGTTGGCCAAGGAGCTGCACGACCCTGTGGGCGAGAGCACAGCCAGGGTAAACATCTCCGATCTGCGAAAGCTGCTGGGAATGCCCGAGTCGGAGCCATCGCCCACCGAGGAGGAGGCCAGATCCACCGCCTCCGATCACTCGGCCAGCGGAAATCAGTCTGATGGATCTGAGAACTCGCAGGGAAGAATGGTAAGTAAAACGTTTATCAAAATACGTTTGCACTTTAACTTTACTCTATTTAAGCTGCTAGTATAGTATATACATTATTTACCGAAGTTCCATTAACTTTTCATTTATAGCATCAGTCTTTCAGTTGTTCTATTCTTAAAAAAGAAACTTGTAGCTTTTGTTTAGGGACACCTGCTTTGTAAAGTAAATATTTAGAAATAGAATTTGATTCAAACACCCATGAAAGATTCATAACTAAATTGATTACTTTTATCGTTCCACTTCAGGTGCGTGTTCGTCGCCAGAGCATGGAGCAGCTGGACCTGATCAAGATCACTCCCGATGGAAAGCGCATGCAGGAGGAGAAGCACCGGGCACAGGCGACCGGAAAGGCCAAAGACGACGACTTCTTCGAGATGCTCTCGCGCTCGCAGTCGAAGCGCATGGATGACCAGCGCTGTTCGATCAAGATGAATGCCGCTGGAGCTCCGGCGGTGGCCACAGGCGCCACCCGCAAGCCGCTGGTGCAGCAGAACTCGCTGTTCGTGGATCCCACCAACCTGCCTGGCTTGAAGTCCCCTTCGTCGGCGAATCCGGTTTCAATTGTACATGGTCCGTTGGCCAGGAGTGCTACCACTACTCAGCAGCCCGATGACGACTTCCTGGACATGCTGATGCGCTGCCAGGGCTCGCGGCTGGAGGAACAGCGATCCGAGCTGCCCCGCCCCAATGTCACAATGGATGCAGAGGCGGAGGCGCCACCGCGATCTGTGCCAGAGGCAGCCGTTGCAGGAGCAGCACGCGGGCAGACTGGTCGAGGAGCCACCGTTCCCGATGAGGACTTCTTCTCGCTGATCATGAAGGTTCAGAGCGGTCGCATGGAGGATCAGCGCGCCTCGATTCCCTTCCGAAATGCCAACAATAACAACAATAGCCGGAGCAACAACAATGGTTCGGCCGGCGGAGCTGGAAAGTAGAAAGAAAAGTCCAGAAAAAGAAATGAGTCCAACCAAAACAATCCTATCAATCCATCCCTGGCCGCAGCTCCTGATCCATTTTGTTATACGTACATCTTGCGGCCACTTATTTAGTCTTTTCTTTCTTGGCAATTGGCTGCTAAACCTTTTGTTCTTTTACAAGATTTATATATATATACACTCACACATACGAGAAGCATTAATTTATGAATAGCGACTAACCACGTAACCAAATATTAGGGGCGTATAGGCCCCGTTTACACGAACAAGAAGAAACTTTCATTGGATGCACTCACTCATCCAGTCATGACTCATTACACACTCATCTTAGAGTTGGCCATGATATTGAACAATCTGCACTCGAGTTTTACGATATTAACGTTTGAATTGCATGTGAAGTAGCTTAAGCCGAAGGTATACTAATCCAATTTGCTCAATAGACGGAACCAAGTCTTCTCTTTATGATCAACGATGATCTTACATTCTCTTAATCGCATTCAGAGCTAAACACTAAGTTTTAAGTCTAACAACCACTCTACATATAAGCAATGCATTTTCCAAATCAAAAACTATTTCCAATTGTAACCCATGAGTATTGCATTTTTCTAACTATCTATAATAACTCTGAGCATATATTTTAAGCCACTTACAATTTTTTTTAGATATTAACAAGATACATACGTACACATATACAAGATACATATGAACAATATATAGTTATACCAATGTCTAGCGATTGACCGATTCGGCAATTGGTCTATACAATATATACACAAAACAAACAGAAACACAAAACTAAGTTCGAGTTGCATGAAATGAAATGAAGCCAAAATTTATTAATGTTATACGTTTATGTAGCACGAAAGGAGGTGCGCTCATGAAGCTAATTGTAATAAAAACGATCGATCGATCATTATGATATACAGCTGCAAAACATACCATTCAGGCGGACAATTATGTCATGTATTATTAAATATTAAAATCAAAAATGTTTGCTGACGATTGTTCTTTGTTAATCGGGCATCTAAGGGGTTATCTTAATGACTTCTGACAATTGAAAAATGTATTCCAAGTCAAAGAAGAAATCTGTTGAAACTTCTGATGTTGTTCACTAATATTTTGGAATCTCCCCCTAAACAATTTCAAATTTCTTCGATTTTAAAGCTTTATTCATAAATTAATCGTCTTAGGTTGCTAGAACATATGCGATAAGTATTCGATAGTGGGATTCCCTCTAGTCGCACTCCCCTTTTGGCTTAGTTGGGGCAGAATCAGGGTCTCCGAACTCCTCCCCCCTAAAAGTAAATCTTAAATTTGCTCTCTTTTATTTACAAATTGATTTAGATAACTCAACAACGGCCAAGCCTACGCCTTGAACCCCTTCATGCTGTCCAGTTGGGCGTCCATGTCGTTGGCGGCCAGCACGAAGATGGGTGCGGAGTAGTCCACGGGCTTGTCGCCACTTCCTCCGCCTCCCTTCACATACGGATTGCCGGCCTTGAGGTTCCGGCTGCGTTTCAACATGACATAGACCACAAATATGCTGACCAGGAAGGCGGAACTGGTGGCCATGATGAAGAGCACCAGCTGGATGGACTCATCCTGGGCGGTGGCCGCCTGTGCCACTGGAACCACAGCACTTCGATGGACAAAGTGTGAGCGGGTCAAGTCCGGCCGGAAGTGACCGCCTGCCAAGCGGAAGTCGCCGGCGGAAATGGCCGCTTCGATGGCAAAGGCCAAGTCCACCTTGGCCTCGTTGTGCAGCTCAAAGCGAACAATGGCGGATCCATCGAAGTTCTCCTGCACCCGCAGGTTCTCCACGGATTCGCCACCGAGCAGCTGCTGGAGCTCCCTTCGGATGGTATCGTAGGCATTCCTCACACTCCGGCCACTGCTGTTGGTCAGATGGAGTTCAATGGCCACCGCCTCGATGGG